TTCAGAATTAAAGTGATCTAAAATTTTGATTAAAATGGACTATTTCTAATTATAAGATTTTTTCAAATTTTCGTTCAATATGATATTCCCATTGTGACGACAGACACGCGACCTTTACATGTTTATCTCACATTGACATATAATATATATCTTGAAGATCGATAATATTTAAAAATACGTAATGTTTAGGTAGACAGATTATTATAAGTCGATTCAGATTTAAAACAAAAAAGCTTAATCGGGGATTATTTCGCTGACCATACACTTGTCATTTCCCGCTTGTATATATATCTCGTCATCAGCTGGCGGAAATGTGTACCCTGGCTTTATTGCAGTCATAAAACGCGAGTTTAGTCATCAGAAATTTCAATAGAAGATATTTATATGCGTTTAGCTGAAATATGCTAGTTTGAAGCAGTCTGACAGAGGCTTGACGATACGTTACAGTTGCATAAAGACTTTGCATGTGTTAACATGTATCGGGCATCTGAAGCACAGGACACCGGATAGATGGCGAGATTTGACTAATTATCGTTTATGGCTTTATCAAAGCAGTATTGTAGTTTGTAAGCTGTTTGTTCCATGTCATTGGGGATATTGATTAGCTAATAAAGTTTGTACCAGGATAAGAGGTTCTATTTCTTCGACATTAGTTAACGGACGGGTTTTAATATCTTTCAAAGAATATAGACTCTGAATGCCACTTTGAAGATTAATACTGTTCAGATATACCAGTTTCAATGCGAAGTCTTGTATTGTTGCAACCTAAATATTGAATTGTTATCCATACATTAAATAGCTTTTACAACTATTTTAATTGTGGAACCGGGACAGAACTATTGAGCGCGTGATAAAATTGCGTTGCCTAATTGCGTAAAACTGTTCTTTCACGGAGCGGCGAGTTGAAAGACGCAGTAGCGTTAATTGTTCGTTGTAAATATGTGACGTAACAATTGCTATTTCTTCAAAGACGACGATGTTTCCAAATTTCCGTTTATTCGGGTTGTTACTGCGTCCTGTATTGTTGTGACACGTGTATGTGAATGGGATTGTGTTTTATTCGTTGATACTACTTAATTATATCTTGATATATCCAAGTTGCCTTTGTGCCAAAACCGTATACTTAACCGTGCCATCGGCGAAACCCGTATACTCAAACCTTCAGCGCGAAGAAAACTATTTTTATCATATTTTATAGGAATTGTTTCCCAAAATAAGGTCACGCGATCTCGCTTAGAATAAAAAAAATACTCATCTCTGGTTGAAGTAACGTTCGAAATTATACAAGATAGATAAATATGTCGCCTCTGTGCACATTATTTATTATATTATTATAATTTGTCATTTCATTTACATAATTCGTTCATGTGCTCTTCTCGCGCCACTCAATAATTCTCATTTTCACATTTTATTTCTGTATGATGGAGACAATCGGTGTGTATTATTTCCGGGTAGTTTATATTCATGTGATATATTGTTCATTATTACTGGTGATTACTCACCCACACGTTTCTGCGCCTCATCTTCTTATTTTACAAATTACCGTCTGAAACAAAATGATCCACACGTGATGTGTGGGCCTCACTTCCAATTTGTGATTTTTCCCGATGCATTTTATTTTCATATTCCATCATATTGTGTTCATTATTTAGTCATCTTCCGTGTGTATGTCGACTAATCGCGCATTATAGACAAGTTATGCGTGGGTCTTATCTACATTTCATTGTAATTTCTCTGTCACTGGATTAGAATTATTTCCCGGTATTTTCTATCCATGTTATATATTCGCGAGTAATACTGGTAACTAATTAACCATGCATACCTGCGCCTGATCTTCTCATTTTATAAATTGACGCCTATGGTAATGGTCGAGGATAGGATATGCATTTTAATGTTTTCATCAGTAAAGACCGAGTTAGTTTAAGAAGAAATTGATATTAGATAGGACGGTTTCTGAGTGAGAGGAAAGTCTATAAAACGCTTTATCACACACGGATAACTCTTCCAATCCTGTCTCGTCCGTTGAAGTACGCTGACCAGTTAGTTGATAAGCAAGATTTTTCGATCACGTCAACTGGGTAAACCACAATCTGTGCAAAATGTTAACGTTTTTTTTTAAACGGAGAAACAGACCAAGCGCAATGAAACTGAAATGAAAATTCTGCTGGATTCGACGCCCTCGCGCGAGTAACGCCTGATTGGCGCAAAACACTGGAGAGGTACTTCAGTGAAATATTTTTTTCTTATTTATCCGGTAACAATTTATGGCTATTAAAGTCGTCTCCGAAAAATAAAACAGGACTTTTTAAAACAAAAGTATCTAAACGTGGGGTTTCACCTAATCTCAGCGCCAACTTGTGATTTTCACGGTATATTATTATTACTATATTACGCCGTCTTGTGATAATAATTAATAAACTTTTCATCTTCCGAAATCATGTGTACGTTGCGACTTCTTAAAATAATTTTATCGGTGTCTTCAATTAACCTACTTCACAAATCTAACACCACAAGCGGAAAATTACCGGCTGGCAGAGTCGCCCAACTCAACCCGGTGGTAACTTTCCGCTTACAGCTATCTTGTCGTCTTCGTCCGAAGGTGAAATTATGACGTCATAATGCACGTAATGTTTATGTCGTCTGCAATGATCTGTTTCGGTTGTTTTGTCTGAGTGCGACTTTGTTATTGTACTTTACGGGGGTTTATACATTATATGCCGCCAATATTTTATCACACACTTACGCGAGCTCGCCAGTAAATAAGCAAAATTATATTCCAATGCATTCATAGCGTAAGTGCGGTGAGTTAGAAGACAATACCATTGTCCATAGTCCCAACTTATTTCAAGACGAACGGAGTCGTTGGACAACATCGCGGGATAAAACGGGTACTTTTCCGTCATTATCTTGCGTGGCGATGGCGGTCGCGAGATTCTGACTTAACAATTAAACAGATTGGAATTATTGTAACATCCTAGGTCAAACATGCCCTTTTCTTTGACTAGTCTATTTGTAGTAGTTAGCATTATTAATTATGGCGTTACTATTACGTAGTAATATGAAGAGTTGTTATTATGTCGTCATAAGCTGAAGAAGACATTTTTCTCGGTGTAATGTTTTTTTGCCAGATTTAATTATCTGGTGCGATTTTTAACGTTATTTTTGCAAACTTTTCTCTTTTCGGTCGCGTAGTAGCAGCCGTAGAGCTTTGATTTTCGTTTTTCTCGCCGAACCACGATGTAAACGAGGAAGCCTTTTGTAATTATTCTGGAAGATTTTTATAGTTCTGCTTTTACCTGGGCCTGTTTTCCAGGAAGTGTTAAGACTTCGTCACATTTTATAATACGATATATAATATTATCATATCGGCTTCATATAATATTATTTCTATTTCATATTTGAGGTGCAGTGATATTATTAACTTTATGACCTGTTCTAGAATTTCTAATTTAATCTGAAAGTCTAATAGATGTTACCAATTGATCTAATGATTTAAAATCCATAAAAGTATTTCAATTATTTTTGTATTATACGTTAACCAGTTATCATATTCAACTCTAACTTATGCTTTAACTAACTTATACACGCAACACCAGGAATCAACATTTCAGCCATAAAATGGTTCATGGAGAAGAGGTAACTACTGACTGAATATCTTGAATGTTTAATGAAATCAAAAATTCTGTAATATTCAATTTTGTTATGATTCTTCGTAGTAATTCTATATTCATATCAATGATGCTTTTCTTTTCACCATTAAAAATCACTGAAGCATGACTAGTCAGAATAGTCTTATTCTGATCAGCAAGTGTTTATGCTGCTATTTATCAAACCAATATCTATTTATACTTAGTCGGGCAAATCACCCCTTACATCTAGGCCAGTGGTTCTCAAACTTTTTAAGCTTTTTAAGCCACTGTCAAGTTTTTCGCCCCACTTTAAAAATAACTAGCTAACAATAAGCTATAAATAACAGATAGTAAGGCCGGAAGTATGTGAATGGAACGTAAATATCAAGAATAAAGAAATGTAAATAACCAAAATAAGGCAGGCAAGCGAGATCAAATCTAGCAAATATTTTTATTTTTAATTAGCTTCACGCCCCTAGAAAAAATTGTCACAGCCCCCTGTGCGGGGTGATCCATTGTTTGAGAACCACTGCATTAGGCAATCAATCATATTTATCATGGTTTCTGTATCGTAAGACCCATCACAATGTGTTTGATTATTTTTTTTCGATAATATTCAATATTAAAATGAAACAATAAGATGGCATGGCAATTGTATGTTTATCATAGTAATTTTATATTTGAAAAGTCTTTTTTTGAAAAGATATTGATTAATAGATTGTTGGAATAAAACAATGAAATTTCTATTTGTGTCAAAAGTTGTTCACCTTATTTACGATCAAAGTTTACTAAATCTCTGTTTGCCGTCACATGATTTTTATTTGATTTATCGAGTGTTTTATGTAATTGTGCAAACGTTTTGTTTGTCATATGTTTCGCCGCAATCTCGTTAGGCTAACAATTGTTTAAAATAAAAACATTCTGTCATGCAAAATCTCATGCATAAAAAATGATTTTATGAAAATTTAATGAAAAGAGAAAAAAACCTGGATAAATGAGTTTTGAGAAAATGGTGAAAACGTATATTTTTGATTTTTGAACTATTTTGTTCCTGTTTTAAAAAATTTATTATTTAACCTATTATAATTTATAAGCATGATTGGCCCTCAAAAAAAATATCAGTTTTTCAAACTTTATAGATGACTCATCTGGGGAATTAGAAATTCAAATAATTAGATAACTGTTTTCTTAATCCTCTCAATTTTGTAGCAAATTTAATTTTACAAAACATTGAGGAGAAAATTTAGGTCTATCAGGATATTGGGGTGAAGGGATATTGGAATAATGTATTTAAAATCAAAAAAATTAGTTGCAAGATATAATTCTAGACAATGTCATAAATCATTGGAATTGATTTTATTTTTTCTGCAGAAACCGCTCTTTACAGATGTTTCAACTTACGAGACATTTGCCAATATGAGAGGAGACAGCCAAAGGTCACCTCTACTGACAGATAGTGTGGATAACGATATTTCAAAGTAAGTAAAGGCTCAGTGTTAAGTTGTAGGAATACACTTGTCATCGCACCTCAATGTACGTGGTTCAAAGCCAGGGGAGATATATATGTGAGAGGATTGCTAGACTCCCCATTGTCGTATGATGGTCCAGATGATCGTAGGCCGATCATGGCTTCCACCACCATCAAGTCCATGCATCTAACCAAATAACTGGCTAATCCCATATCTCAGCATGTACTGGTAACCGGACAAGAGGCCATGGTTTGCCATATGATTGAGTTATATTTTTTTTTTTTTTTTGGCCATGGATAAATATAAAATCCTATCCTAAACCATTGTAAGTGATTCAAAAGTCTTGCTGCACAATAACACAAATATATTTTTGTAACGTTTCGTTAGACCAAGGTCAGACTTCTTCAGACATAACATAGTTCAACTGTTGGGATAGTTATCTTTACTCTTGCTACGGTATTCTTACATTATATGCATACCTATCCGCCTGCACAAAAGCAAAGAAGAAGGATAAGTAGTTAGTTTCGCAGAAACCAAATGACTAAACCATTGTGATGGGAATGATGCACTTTCTGCTTCATTTGTATATAGTTGGGAAACATGCCAAGTTTCCTTCAGCTTCAAACTAATTTAATTTTGAAAACAAAAACTCCAGTGAATGCAAGCATCCTTTATTAGACTCTTAAGAATGCTTAGTAAACTAAATACCTCTGGAGTGTCTGCCGAAATTTTTTGAATTCTATTATCATCATTAAAAGTCTGAAAATTAGATTCTGACCACTGTATCTGGGGAAAATCAAATTTCTACTCCCGACTCCACAGACAGTTTCAAAGTTTGACTCCCAGCTTCAGTAAAATGTCGGACTTCACAGCCAAGGTGCCATGATATGACAAACTAGAGTTAATAATCCTCTAGCTTCTACAATAATGACACCTTATTAACTATTTTTCAGGCAAACACATATCTACCCTCCACTGGATGCCAGCAATGATGATTTTGACTCAGAATCGAACGGGAGTAGTGAGGGGGAGGAAATACAAATTAGAAGAGACGGAGGACATACTACAAGGTTGGTATCATTCGTAATCAGGGTAGCCATCAACTAAGTTCAAAAATAAGCACGGGTGTCAAAATTTTTTTTTTCCTTTTTGAGGGGGGGGTAGGTATATAACCTCAACGACAATATTAAACATCGTCCCTCTTTTTCATGGAACATTGTACGTAGAACATGAACGGGTCATCTATGTTTCCAAGACAAAAGTACCACGCAACTCAAAAATAAGCACTTTTCTTAGAAATAGGCTTGGCACCTAGTTTGTTGAAAAATTTAGCGGCAAGTATTTTCTAACTTTATAAAAAAAGTGTTCCCATATATGATAAAAAGTGTTCCCATGAAATTAACTTAAACAGCAAAATTTTGCTAAAATATCGGTTTCTATAGGAAAAATAATTTGAAAAATAATAGTCATAGCCTTGCTTCCTGGCTGATATCTTCAATACTATAAATCTGATATCGGTTCGAGTTCGAGCATCCATAAAATCGTCCAAATATTTTCTGCACCAAAAAGGCTTTCTCAACAACAACAATTAGTATTCGGTACTTTCGTAGTATGTGAACCAAGATGGCAGACACCGGAACGTAGTATGTGTAACAGGTTAGGGTTAGGTCATAATTTTATTCAGATTTTCCTTTATTCTAATACTAGTTCGGGAACCAGCCAAGTGACTCCTGTAGTATTTGTAGGCCTATCTAAAATTATGGCCTAACCCTAACCTGGTACACATACTACGTTCCGGTGCTCCCCATCTTGGTTTACATACTCACCTAGTATTGTCGCTTAGCGTCAAACTATTAATCATGCACAGGACTGTTCGAAGAATATTTTGTGCTTGAAGCGAAGCATTTGTCACCTTGACACATACAGGAAATACAGCCTGAGATGCAGGAAGCTGTCGCACTTCTTCATGATCAATTAGTTTCTATTTTGTCTGCGAGATAATTTCAACTGTTCAGTTAGGTCGGATCAGGATGTAGTAGCTGGATATAAATGTTGTGTTGGAGTAGGGCAATTACTGTTCCTAGTAGGCCAGTTACAGATAATAAACTTGGTTACTGGGCCGGAAAAATCAGTTTATTTACAACAGCTAGGCTAACATTTATATAATATTAGGAAGCATGATGTAACAATCAGGGTCATTATGACATGATTTTCATCGAGTTTGTAAACTAAAATTTATATCCCTAAGATCTAAAAACAATTCGTCATGATTCCAGCAGACACAAGTGGGCCAAATTTGGCCCGCAGGTCGTAGTTTGCCCACCCCTGTACTAGTGTGTTCTTATAGACACAGATTGCAAGGATATTGTAACAAGAATCAAAACAGCTGCATTGAATATCAATGGCTCAGGGGTGTGCAAGAGGCAGCCCGTGGGCCACAAACTGGCCCGCCAAGCCATTGTGTGGCCCTTCCCCATCAAGCATAATATCATAATCCGACAGTTTAAAAAGTTGCTTACTTGGGTAAAAATACATAATATTTTTTCTGCTATTGTCGCTGCTTTGAATCTATCGCTGTTTGTCTGGTGTCTTCTCTTTCCATGCTCTTCCCACACTGAAAAACTAAAATTTTTGTGTGGCCTGACTACTTGTCTGAAGTTGATTATATGCCACACTGATAAAAAATATTGCACACCCGGTGTTAGTGGATTAGCGTGCACCGACTGCAAGGATACCGTAGCAAGAATCAACGGCTGGGGACGGGGTTTGGTTGTCTGAGTTGAGGCCAGACAATTTGTTACGGATAAAAATTCATGAAACTTTGAATACTATGAGATCAGAAAGTCATTGTTTAAATGATTTACTGTCAATGATATACAAATTGCAAATAACTAACTAACTAATCCCATACCTGACATGGACTGGTAACCAGACAAGAGGCCGTGGTTCTTATATGATTAAGCCGTCTTGTCGGCTCTTCTTTCTTCCGGTATAAATATGCAAATCCTATCTTACCAGAGCTTAGTAAGATGGCCATTTTTTAGTTTGACTATCAAATATCCAAATGTTAGATCAGAAAAAGGGTACTATTATTAGATTCGGGTGTACTTGGAATAGTGCACTTATCATTCGCTGTTTCATTCTTTTATAACATTTTTGTCTGAAGAAGTTGACTATGATCTAACAAAAGCTTTCAAATATACTTGCTATTTCCTGGAAAGATGTTATGTTATTTATTATTATTAGAATTATTTTTAAAGTGTAAAGTCAAATATATCGAGTAAAATTAATTACTAATGTAATTGAATATCCGATCCATTTTGGGCTTGTGTCTTGATGGTCAGGTATTCAGAAGAACCATGGCATCTTTCTTGTCCAAGTTTTTTCCGTTTGACTACTCGGGAAGAATTTACAGTGAAAGAGATATTGATCATTATAAAATAAGGTAGAGTTAAACACAGGTGGTTGGCCTGTTTCAATTTCAAACAATGAGCCATTCAAACACAACTCAGGCTTCATAATGATGAATATTATCAGCAGAATATTTTGATTTCCAACTCTATCTTCTAATCTAACTTTAATATCAAAACATTCGTGTATGCCAGGGGCACAGCCAGGGTGTTTCTGAGGGTCGGCACTCCTCTTGAAATGTAAAAAATAGCATTTTCCTGCCTCATACCTAGCAATTTTTCATGGCTTGAAATGCTTTTTAGACCCTCTGGATTCTTTAAAATCCATGTTTTGCAACTCCGACTGGACCCGCTAGCTAATACAATCTTACTTGTCAATTAGAAATTTCAGAAACCCCCCTCAGAAATTTCCTTGCTACGCCCCTGGTGTATGCAACTAATGCAAGCCTACTTTATAGACTAGAATTATTTGCAAGTTTATTCCACTCTTGGCTACTTGCTCAGGTCCTTCTTCTGAGAGGTATCTAACAAAAAATTTTAAAATTTTTAGTAACATCGGGACATTGATGCATCTACTGAAAGGCAACATTGGAACTGGACTCCTTGGGTTGCCATGGGCGATAAAACATGCAGGGATCATAGCTGGCCCGATCATGCTTCTAATAATGGCCGTCATATGTGTGCACTGCATGCAGGTTTTAGTAAAATGCTCGAAACATTTTTGCAGGTGAGTGAAGTTCCGACTTGCTTTGTGGAATATATTCATTGATAGATAAATGTTGGAACAGTGGTTCCCAAACTTTTTTGGCCTCAAAAACATGTCACCTCAAAAGTAATTAGGTAGTTAATAATAAGCTACAAATAACAGATAGTGAGGCGAAAGTATGGTTTATTCAAAAAACATGTTGAAAATATGTGGATAAATATCCAAAATAAAGAAATGTAGATATCCAAAATAAGGCGGGCAAGATCGAATCTAACTGAAGTATATTTTATTTTTAATTAGCTCCACGCTCAAAATATTATCTACACTGCCGTTGCGGGGTGCGTCCCATCGTTTGGGAATTACTGATTTAGAAGTTCAAATGGCTTTGCAGAGCGTTAGAGCCAATTATGTAATTTATGTTTGGATCGTGAGTTAGAGTTTAAGGGTTCTCTGGTTGAAATCTGATGTTGGCCATCCTTCGGGGTTTGAAAAGGGGCGAGACAGAAAAACCATTTAAACAAAACGTCTGTGCAAAAAATTTTGGATTCCTTGGGGCAGGAGTTCCATTGGGAATGAGCAATTTCAAAGTTTTCTACATAAACTCTAAATTTCAGAGTTTAAATTAAAACATACTTTAGCCTTACTATCTGTAATTTCTTGCTCATTGTTAGCTAGTTATTTTCGAGGTGGGGCGTGAGACATGACAAATTCTTTTACGCGGCTTATATAGTTTGAGAACTACTGCATTAGAGCTTACATCAAGTTTGAAGACCAGAAAAATTACTGGTTACAGTGTGCGAGTACAAAAAAAAAATAATTATCATCGTTACCGTGGCCAAAATTTGTGATTTAGAGAGAATGAACACCAATGTAAAGGCGTTTACGGCCTAAATAACACGCTACGCTGATGAAAACAATCTGCGATTTCAGCAGAAGGCATTCGCACGCGTTATCGGACACTTTTTCAGTTTCAAAGAAATTCAAAGGGGGGGGGGGGTTGTTCCGTTCCGACCCCGAAAATTCCTGCGCTACTGGGTTACACTATAATTCTTTAATCTAAAAATATTATTCCTTTTTCAGGAAGCTCGGCATCTCTTCTCTCGATTATGGTGAAGTCATGATGCATAGTGTCGAGTACGGTCCAATACGTCGACTCCAACCACATAAACATAAAGCAAAAATGATTGTGAACGTCTTCCTTATGATCACACAACTTGGGTTCTGCTGCGTTTATTTTGTATTCATGGGGCAGAATATAAGACAGGTAAGATTTTTGTCCTTTTATTTTAGCGAAGGCTTATTACCTTTGTGACATGGCCAAGCAGCCTTCATCCTAAATGTGATGGCACCCTCTGGAGCAGAGGTGTGCAACCTTTTTTGTAAGTGGGCCATATAACCTACTCCAAACATCTAGTTGGGCCACAAAAAGAAATTGGACCTCATGAAGTATGCGCACCAAGATGGCGCACAACCTGAACTCAGGTTGTGTACCAGGTTAGGGTTCAGGTTGTGCGCCATCTTGGTGCTCATACTTCAGGAGGTCCAAAAAATTAGTGTTTTCATGTCCACAACGAATTGAAAAGTTCTCACAATGGAAACGCTATCGCTCAGACTTGAGTAATAATAGTCTATAATTGGTCTTGTATAAGGGTGTGTGCAACACATTTTGTCGATGGGCCATATAACTAACTTCGAGACATCTAACTGAGCCACACAAAAATGCGGAATGTGGCCATTGCTTAACGTTACAGTAATGAAGACGGAGAATACATGAAACATTTAACGCAGCTATGCTTGATAGGGACAAATCAAAGTCAAGAGTTATTTTATTTGTCACTTCAATTAAAAAACAAAAAGTTCAACAATAAAATGTATGTGTAATAAGTACAGTATAAAAATGACAAGTGTTGACAAGGGCCGCGCTAAATGGCTTGGCGGGCCGAGTTGTGGCCCGTGGGTCTCCTGCTGCACACTCCTGCTCTAGAGTATTCACATATTCACAAGTTTGACTTGTGATGATAACAAGTTTAAAGTTTGACTAAATGACAATCTAAGTTAACAGTTTGTTTGTTTCTCTGCTATCAGTACTGATAGTTCAGTAGGCCTATATGTATTTTGGCATTTTCCATTTTTTAATTCTAAATTTCTTACAGGTTGTAACTTTATACTGGAAGCATACACCATTATCTTTGCTTCAAAAATAGTTGTGATCCCTGGCAACTATTCTCACATTCCATTTTCTTTTTTAAATATAAATCTTTTTATTTTCACACAGGTTGTAGCATTATACTGGAAAAACGCACCAGAGGATCGAATTTTCATGGCAATGTTAGCTCTACCTGTCGTATTACTGACGTTCATTCGCAAATTATCAATCCTTGCCTGGTTCTCGTCTGCTGCCAATATTGCTACAATCATATCATTGTGCATCATCTTCAGATATATTTTACCGGTAAGTTGGATTTTTGTTGGGATGGTTTTTATGTGGAATATTCACTGTGAACGTGGCTTTAGACAAGATAATAACATGCAAAGATCTATCTAAGGACCTGTTATGAGAATTAAGTTCTGTTATTCTTGTTGCAGTGTGCTACACCTGCGCTCTTTTGTTTTTATTCTGTCACTGAGACATTATCACAAAAACCCGAAATCTCATTTCGTACTCCCATAGTATGTGTACCAGGTTAGGTATATTTTTATTCCAATTTTCTTAATTTAAGTTCTGTTACAAGTTCGGGTACTGCTGAAGTATTTGTACCTGGAATTATGGCCTAACCCTAACCTGGTACACATACTACGTTCCGGTGTCCACCACCTCGGTTCGCATACCACAGGAGTACCCTCATTTTCATATCGTGGTGAACCATGACCAGCCCTTTTGTATGGTTACCAGTCGATGTTGGGTGCGGCAGGGTCATAACCTCTCGTCTTGTTGGGCCCAACAATCAACAACTTTTCTGGCGGCCATTAATAAATTAATATCCTATTATGAAGATGCTTTATTTTAATTCTTCTCTCGGGTAAATACGGAATAACAACTAATACTATTTATTCATTCCACCAGGATCTACCGTCATTTTCCTCTCGTCCGTTTGTTGCTAGTTTATCTGAAGTGCCAATGTTCTTTGGAACCGCTATATTTGCCTTCGAAGGAATTGGAGTGGTAAGTTTAATAATGAGTACCAAATAACTAAGAAAAAGTTGCCAAACTAAGGGGTCGGCTTATACACTGATAACTCTGTTCACATTTAATCGAAATACCATTATGCTAGTTTAAGTCAACAGCTACTATTCAAACCATGACTAATGGTCGCTTGTGTGTTTTTTACGATTGGCTTGTATTTTTATAAATTAACAGTTTTTCGGCCGCTTTATTTGGGGGGGGGGGGTCGGATTACATGTGAAATCGAGTTATATGCGAGGATTTATAGTTGGCTACTGTCTTCGAAAGTGTAAAGGTGTGGAAAACTTGTTTAAAAATGGATAAGAAGATTTCCACTGTTTTTATTTGACACAAGTCAATCGAAAGTTCCCAAACGTTTCCATTGAACTCCTCTTTTTGCCTATTTGATTAACAAAATTTGGCTGTGATATTTGGAAAGTGCAAAATGCTGTATTTGTCTGTCAAGAATGCTCTGTCAACTTTAATGTTTTCCAGTCTACTTCGGAAACTCTAAATTCCATTATCGTTTCTACGAACCATTAGGCGCACAACCAGGCTATAGGACTCAATCGGTACTGATACCGGTTTTGTGTAAGCAAAAAAGCATAATAAAGCATCACCTGCTCCATACATTAGGCGCCCACTATGGTCCATAAAATACAGTACTGACTTCGGGGAATTTGAAAATGCGACTCAGAGCTCTGATTCTAATATCAATGAAAAGATGCCACATTTAGGCTCAAAACATCACAGCCTTTTTGGGTGGAAACTGGCTCCGAATGCCCTTAAAAGTCGTATTGTTGCCGCCCAGTCGCATACCAAAAGCATCTGTTTATTTATTATTTATGTATGCATATATTGTTTCTTGGTTTGATAAAATGAAATAAACTCTCTCTCTCTCTCTTTGTAAGGGCAAAAACCAGATGTAAACACTGAATCGATTCCATTCAATTCCAGGTTCTTCCGATAGAAAATGCGATGCGAACTCCCGAGCATTTCCCTTTAATCATCTACCTTGGCATGGCCCTGGTAACTTGCCTATATACGAGTGTGGGAATCATTGGCTACCTCAAGTTTGGCGACGCTATTTGTGGAAGCATAACATTAAATCTGCCTGTCGGAGATCCGTAAGTAATCTGCTACTGCTGTTTTGTTCTTATACAACGATTATCATGTCTCATGCTCTTCGATACCTTATGACAGTGGTTCACAACTTTAATAACATATGGCTCCCTTTCAAAGGCTTTTAAGCACTCATGTCTCCTTTGTTTATCATTCCAGTGGTATTTATAGTGTTGTTATGATTGGTTGACTCCAATTCCCATTATGTTTAAACTATTCATGCTAAACAAGGTAAAAACACCCTGTGAAGAACCTTATCAAGCAATGAAACTAGGAAGAACAGGGAGTTTTGTTGTGAAGTGGAAAGTAAAATGAGTTATGCAATAGTAATGTGGCCCTGCTTCAACTTTTTTATGGCCCCTTTGGGGGCCCCCCGGTTGGAAACCGCTGCTCTATGGAGCAGTCAATGATATTTAATGTTATTTGAAAACTGCACACAATATGTAAAATTTAAAGTTTCAAAATTATTATACTTATAAATTAAATGATCTTTAGTGCGGCGTGGTCAAAATACTCCAATGTTAAATGATAAATTTGACAAATAAAAATAACAAATTCACAAAAATTGGTACTTTCGATGATCCAATTCCCAAGAAACAGAAGAAAACTTTTTATCGAAATTTAAATTTTAGCTTGATATTTATTGGTTTTAAAATTCCAGAGTGTTGTATTCCTCCATAGCAAATCTTTGTTTTTAATCCATTTCTACAAAATATTAATTTCAATGCTGAAATAAAAATCTTTTGAATTCATTTTATCTACCTCATATTGTGAATTCTTCCTACATTTCAGGAACACCCCCATAACCAAGCTTTCAGTCTGCAACCCCAACTTATTTTGGCCTCACACTTTAACTACAAGTCCAGACCAGATACCCAGAATCAGGAGAGTAGCTGGGGGGCTGAGGGCCGCCCCCCTACCCCCCTCTCCCTTTTGAAATGTGAAATAATAAGCATTTTTCTGTAATATACATAGCAATTTCTTGAACCTTGGAACAATTTATAGACCCTCAAAGACTCATGAAAGCCAACATTTCCCAACTTCTTGGCGGACCGACCCGCTGGAAATCACAAATTTCGACTCACCCTTGGAAACTTTTGGCTACGACCGTACCCAGAATGATTTGTTTTTTATTGAAATTATTACAGTATGCATTTAACCCTTTCTTCAAGGTTTTACGAACTTGCAAAGATTCTGTTTTCATTTGTAATATTCGTGAGTTACGCTCTACAATTCTACGTCCCGTTTGAGATAATCTGGCCAGCGATGAAATCAAAATGTCAGCCTCGCAGTGTTTGGTGCGAGTTGTTCACGAGGATGACGCTTGTCATTATGACATGTGAGATATAATTCTGACAGCACAATGCTTGCCGGTGTGAAATTGTAGTTTGTTGGTGATGTGACAATGCATTATGTGTTATGTCATAATGCTAGTTTGTGCTGAACACTTTAGAATGTCATCTTAACCGCACGGTTTTTATATGTGATTTGCATCGTCTTCCTCTGCAACGTTACATTAGCAGATTTTCATACCATTTTTTCGGGTTTCATGTAGTATGTGAACCAAAATGGCGGACACTGGAACGTAGTATGTGTACCGGGTTAGGGTTGGGCCATAATTTCAGGTACAAATACTACGGGAATCACTTGGCTCGTCCACGAACTCGTAATAGAAGTAAAATAAGGAAAATTGTATAAAATCATGGCCCTAACCTACTACATACACATACTACGTTCCGGTGTCCGCCATCTTGGTGCGTATACTACGGGCGCGCCTTTTTGTTATGATACGAAGAGAACAATTAAGAAACAGACGGTGTAGTTTGTTTATCCAACAAATCGAATGCCTATTCAGTCTGAACCCCCACCCCCCCCCTCCCCCTCTTTTTTAAATTTAAAAAAATCATTTTTTTGTATCATACATAGTAATTTTTAGTAGCTAAAGACCCTAAAGCACCGCGTTTTTTCTTGATTCCGGCCGGCGCCGCAAACTGTTATTTAACTTGGCAATTAGAACTTTCAGAACCCCTCCCTTTCAAAATTCTGGGTCACGCCTCTGCCCACAGTCTTACGTCATCGGGCTCACTCTATGCCAGTGGTCGGCAACCCTTTTCAAATGACGGACCGGTAAAATCTGACCAAAATTTTGGCGGACCACCTTTATACAAATTACAGACGAACTGATGTAATTTAATAAATTGTATGCACTAGAAAAGTTATGTTAACAATACATTCAAAGACAAAGGTATAACGTGTTTCTCACGTTCGTCCTACTTAAATATTTCGTTTTTGTAGTTGTCAATTTTGAAAACCTGACTTTACATACTGGTAACAATGCTCTTAGGGCATTGTACGTTTTTTGTGTCACCTCTCTGCGGACCGGTAGTAATCTTCCCGCGGACCGACAATGGACCGCGGCCCGGTGGTTGCCGACCACTGCTCTATGCAATCACTAGGCTCACAGGAATGACACATATATTATTTCTTTAGTCTAGCACAAGCAGCGAAACTTCTGTATGCAGTCGTGATCCTAATTGGCTATCTTCTGCAATTTTACGTTCCTTTTCAAATCCTCGCTCCGTGGATAGAAAAATTTCGGAACCCAAAACGAGTCGATTTTCTTTTGAGAATTTCAATGGTGATATTTACTTGTAAGTTGAAAAAAAAATTAGCAATGCTCTGTTGATCTCTGCTGACATCTGCTGGAATAGCGTTGATGTTAGCTCTGCTGGGTGGCTAGAATAATACTAATTTAGTTTATATTTTTGTTGAGGGATATACTCACATATATACAGCACTCTGGACTAGTGGGTGCATGTATCTCTTCTAGTAGTACTTTCCGATTTCTAGTCAAGGGTACGGACTTTTCTCGTGGTGTGGTGCATCATGCTAAATGTAAGGAATACACTCGCATTCGCACTTCTGATTACCCTGCGTGTCGAGTCCTGTGAAGGATAATTACATGCGAGAGGATTGCTTGGCTCATCACCGCTGTAGTGTGGTCGGTTACGGCTTCCCATCAACTTCATGCATCGGTAACTAGTGGACTCTTAATTTACTCAGGATAGTTATCTTTACTCTTGCTAGAGCATCCTTGCCTTATATGCATTCCCCAGCACAAGCATAAAAAAGTAGAATAGGCAGTTCGTCCCCCAGAAATACATTTGTGTTGGTGTGCAGGATAGTTATCTTGTTACAGCATCCTTGCATTTTACACATATGGACCAAATAGTGCTAAAGCTGAGGATATATGATAATGTAAAAAATATGCGTTGAAATAAACCCAACCCGAATAGTTAGAGATCAACAGAGCATAGCTACACAAAAAATTTCAGTTAAAACATTGAAATTCGCTAATTTTTGTTTTATAAAAATCAAAAAAGATTTCTGTTCAATTCAGTTATTTTATCATTTTAAATTTTTCTTTTGCTTCGAATCAAAAAAATGCTTGGCTGTGAAGATCTTTTTTTTTTTTTTCGCTTATTTGCTTTAAGCTAACTTGCAATCACCGTATATCCTCGCATATAAGCAGAGTTTGAAACTCAAAAATAAAGTTTGTGCGTATGGCGTGTTATGATTTTTAGAGTCTGCTTATATTATTATTATTATTTTAATGGTGCTTATAACTGACGTAGTTTTGTGCACCAGGACTGTGATATTACGCTTTGGGCATTCAAATGCTTTGACCCGTTATGAGGACGTATTCTATGACAAAATATATAGTTCTGGGCTTTGTTAGTAAATTGATAATATTCACGAGACATATATTCAGGAACTTTTATAAATTCACCGTTTTAGGGGGGAAAATTGCGTTTTTTTTTTGGCTTTTATGCGAGGATATAAAGTACGCTTTTTCTAAGTTCTGCTGAGAACTTGGAACTTAGAATAAAAACCAACATATAACTTTAGAACAGGGGTGTGCAACAGGCAACTCACAGGCCACAACCAGGCCTGCCAATTCATTTAGTGTGGCCCTTGTCAACATCCAGAATTTTCCCCATCAAGCATAAAATCATAATTTGACAATTTATATTTCAAAAGGCGCAGCATAGGTAAAATACGGAATGTTTTTTTGCTCTTGTTGCTGCGTTAAATATTTTCTTGTTTTGCCTGCTGCTTTCATTACTGTAAGTCGTCGTGTACATAAAAAAACTAAAATTTTTGTGTTGTTCAGCTAGATATCTGAAGTTGGTTATATGGCCCACCAACAAAAAAGTTGCACACCCCTGTTTTTGAGCTTCACTGGTTGCTTGAAAGTTTTCTATCAAATGCTCTACTTTCAGACGAGTTCATGGGGCTTTGCTTTGAGCTAAAACCTTGATATGCGACTAGTGACTTGCAAATCTTCAGTCAGTATTTTTCCGCTTTTATTTGAAACGTCTTCCACTTTGAAGGGATAGTTACTGTCTTAAAGCAACCTTGCCATATTTCTATCTGTACTATTTAACCTTTAGTTGAGGCTTTGCACAAATTTGTGTAAAAATTCGTGTATGGGGCCCAGCATACCAGTGGTACCTGCAACTCTTCTATCGTTTTCATTTATTTTTTTGCTCATAAATTTGCATGTTTTGTTGTTGCATGGCTTTGTAGTTTTTTTATGTTTGCATGTGCATGTAGAGTTTAGTATAACATGAAAATAACATATTATTCAGCATAATCGTGGAATGAATTGTGTTATCATTATCAAATGCTGCTTGCATTGACAATCCTGCAATATTTTCCCCCAAAGAATACGCTCAAAGCAAGGCCACAAGCACTCACTCAGAAGTAAAGGAGACTCATCTCTAAGCAAAGTTACAGGCACTCACTCAGAAGTAAAGGAGACTCATCTCTAAGCAAAGTTACAGGCACTCACTCTAAAGGAGACTCATATATACTCACTCAGAAGTAAAGGAGACTCATCTCTTAGCAAAGTTACAGGCACTCACTCAGAAGTAAAGGAGACTCATCTCTGAGCAAAGTTACAGACACTCACTCAGAAGTAAAGGAGACTCATCTCTGAGCGAAGTTACGCACACTCACTCAGAAGTAAAGAAGACTCATCTCTGAGCAAAGTTACGGGCACTCACTCAGAAGTAAAGGAGACTCATCTCTGAGTAAAGTTAAACTAACCAAGAGATACTGAAACTAAATACAATCAGGTCTATTAAACACCAGTGAATATTATTACAAGGCCATGATAGTTCATATTGTCCCACTCTTTAGACTGCTGCACTTCGATCTTTAACCAAACTATTTGAGCTAAAATGCGAACTGCTAGCCTAATTTTTCCACTTGTGTATACTAAATGCTTCTATTGCATCCGCATGCTGCATGAAACTAATATACTATTTTATAATTTTTTATCTAGTTTTTACCCAGCTTAACTGACTATATGTCATGTTTCACTATACCAACCCAAAATTTAACCCCGAAATAAATTAATAATTTCAATATTTGGAACAAAATTGTTATCGTTTGATTTATATTATGATTGGCCAGAAATTAATTCAAATAAATTAACAATGTTGATTGATGGCACTTTGCAATCACACTTCAAGTTGATTCTCTCCTGAAAAAAGCAAAATCATGGATAAAAAGTTATTCTAATTGGCATTTCCAATAATCTTCAGAAAAATAAAGCGAACGAAAAAGTTTACATTTTCGATAACTTTCTATTTTTTTCAAACAGGTTTATGTGCGATTGCAATTCCAAACATCGGTGATTACATCGCACTAATTGGGGCTTGTTCCTCCTCGTTTTTGGCGTTGATTTTCCCCCCGATTATCGAATCTATGACATTTCATAGCAAAGCTGGGGAAACCTATGTTGAATACACGAGCCCTTCTGAACAAGACTTTGCTGCAGATGACGCAAGTCAGTCATTGATTAATTCTGAAAATGCAAATAAAAGGTGAGTGGTAATTTTAATTTTAGCTGCTCCCTGAGTCAATATTGTGTAATTTTGAAAAAAGATTTCACGAACCATTAGGCCTTGAAACTTAAATCTTTATTAAAGCAAATGTTTGCGTCCTATTCAGTAAGATGACGCTAATGAGCAATCCCTCAATAATATTTATAAAAAAAAACTTTCATAGTTTTGTTAATGTTAATTTTTGCCTGGTGATGGGTATTTGATTCTTTTAAATAATCTACAATGCCTCTCCCTTGTTCACTTAGACGAAGCCTTGAAAAAGAGACAATAGGCCATGTTTAAAATTGTCGATTTCCAAAAGAATTTAAATTTTGCTAAATGTACCTATTTTGATAAATGAACATATATGCCGAACTGCTGTCATTTATTTATATCGAATGCCAATGATATCCAGCGATATATCATGACTATCAGTTGGAGTTATGCGAGACTAACTACCTTTTCTTACATTTGTGGAAGTGGATCCGTATGCGTGTAACGCAAGGACTCGGTGGCAAGAATAAAGATGACTAAAATATAAGAATCAAGAATCTTGCTGCAGACTAACACAAACTGTACCCTCGTTAAACGAAACGTTACAAAAATACATTTGTGTTAGTGTGCAGCAAGACTCTTGAATCAAATGGATATATTAGGAGCTATTATTTTTTGTTCCATTCCCACACTAGATTCTGGTCTTTCCTAAAATTGAAACCCTTTTGGCGCTGCGGTGTGGCTCATCGTGCTAAGCGTTAGGAATACGCTCGCCACCGCACCTCTAATTACTCTGCGTAGGATTCACAGGTTCGAATCCCATGCGGGGTGGTTATGTGTGAGAGGATTGCTGGACTCCTCGCCGCCGTTGAGTGGTTCACGTATCCGCTGGTCGGTTTTCGGCTTCCTCCACCATCAAGTCCATGCTTCGGAAAAAACAAATACCTAACTAATCCATATCCAACATGGAATGGTAACGAACGAGAGCCGTGGTTCTCATATGGTTAAGGTCCGTCAAATCGGCTTTCCTCTCCCCCGGGATAAATATGTAAATCTTATCCTTATCCTTTACACATCAGTATCTACTTATACAGTGCCTTCAGTTAAGAGTGAAGGCACATCAACATCCCATAAAAATCAATTTTGATATTTTCTTTTTCAGTCCTCCAAAGCAACGTTCGTATCTGATATCACAAAACAGTAAAGGACTCAGCTGTTTCACCATTTTTAAAAACGTACTGATTCTCTCGTTTGGAATTATCGGATTTATCGCTGGAAGTATCGTATCAGTAAAAGACATAATATACGACTTGCAACACCATTCACAAACGGACGCGTGTAGTGGAGGCCTCGGCCCGAATTCTACAATTACAACTGCAGCTCCTTTTAACCACAGCACAGGATTTCTTACTTCAACAATATCCCCGTTTAATACGACTTTACATGATTTAGTTACAATGCATGGCAGGCCTTGAAAATTGAATCCTCATGATGGAAATTCCTCTCAATGAGTTGTTTTTCCTGGCAGGATAGATTTGTATTTTCAAGTCTCAAGTCAATCACTATCTACTGGCCCTGGTCCATAATAATGACAGAAAATCAAAAATTCCATTTCTGAAAAATGTGATTGATTGTGGATTAGATGGACTTGGTTTTATGGAAATGAACTTGATTATGGAAAACTTGTAAGATAATTGTGTTTTAGTAATAATAATTATGAAGCAGGCATCTACAGCCCTGCCTTTGGTGTTTTGGAGCTGTTATAAGGCCATATATATTGCCCTAATTTTTGAACTTTTCAAATTTTGTGCCCAAACAATCCTACAAGCATTACTTCTTTATATCAGAATAAATAGAATATTTTCTGTCTAATGGCTACAAAAAACTATTTTCAATTATTATATTTTGTCTGTTTGAATAGAGTTTTCTATATTCCTGGGGTTCTTTCCCAAACTTGAATTTAAAATTTAAAAAAAGGGTGCTTGCTAGAAAAACAGAAAATTTGTCAAACAGTTTTTTTTTTATTACAAATGATGATTTGAAAACGAGCGTTATCCCATTTGAAACGGTATACCACAAGTTAACCTTCAAAATGCTACACGAACTTCGAGCTAGGTTAAAAGTAAGACAATGATCTGAAATGCTTGGACGACATTTTGAGCATCTATGAATGTAATATATCATCTCCTCCTAAAAAACTCTGTAAAAGTTATTCTTTGTAAAAATAAATAGCTGTTTGACAAAATTTCTGTTTTTCTAGCAACCTCTCTGTATATACGTTTTCTCAAAACAGTCCATTCAAGTTTCCCCCCTTTTGAGTTGAACCCCCCAAATGTGATCTGCACTGACTATGTCCAAATAAGCTAAACTTAATGTTCAAGTCAAATCAAAGTGCTCTTTTTATTTAAATATTTAAGGATAATCTATTTGATCTTAATTTTTTTTATTGAAAATTGCAATTTTCTTATTTTTGCTACTTTTTAGTAGCTTAGTGCAATAACATTGCTATCTATCGTATAGTACAGGATTAATTAATTAATTAAAGTCGTTAAGTTAGCCACGGTTGGGCTAAAATTAAAAATATTCTGTGCTTGTCAAATAAATCTTTTTCTGGATGATTGATTAAGGGAATTTACAATTGATGTATCGAGCATTTAAAAAAATGTATAAAATCGTCATGTACATGTTGGAATGTTGCCGATTTTTGTTTAAAGAAATTTCCTCAAATGATACAAAAAATCACATTTGAGATCTTTTGACAGCGGTTCTTAACAGGGTGTCTGTGGCCCGCTGCCAAAAGAGAAATCAATCCAATGAACTGATTATTATGGTAAATTGTGGTGTCACAAAATAACAAAAAGAATCCATTTCAAAAGAGGATGAAAAAGAGAGGAACTTTTTTTCAAGAAATACCAGGTGTCCATAAAGTCCCTTTACAATTAAAATTTTGTTTTGAAGTCAGTTCTCAATATATCTTAACCAGGTTTGTTTTTTAATCAGTAATTGTTCAAGTATTTTTACTTCATTTAATACATCTGCGAGGGCCAAAATTCGCTTTGCAATTTTGAAATTTTTTAGGACTTTATTAACACTCCATATTTCCTTCAAGGCCGTAGAATCAGAGAAAGGTTATATATATATATATGACTTTGGGTTCGGGAATATTTTGAATTCTGGCATGTGATGAACCATCCATTTCAATTGTTGTTGTATTGTTTTCTAGCAATTTATGATTTGTGTGGTGTGATCAGTCATGCTTGAATCAAGAAATTGTAAGAATGATAATGTGATGCTCTTAAAAAATTTTTTTGTGAGTTTAATTTGTCGCTATTTAGTTATTTATATCAGGTCTGCAAATTGAAGATTTTGCTGGAGAAAATTCAGCCATTTACAAGCAATTATTTAAATTTCAAATCACATTTCTGAATTTTATTAGTTAGCTGAGAGATACTAAATTTCAGTTTTCGCGAATCTGAAAATAGAGTAGAAAATCTGAAATCCTCCCCCAAGAAAAAATAATAACACCTCCAAACTCTGACTATAAAGCCTTACTTTTATTTTGTGATATCACAACTATTCTCATTAAGCTTTGTTCCGAACTAGCACTTGTAAGCACTATATTTTATTGCGAAAGTTATATATATTTCTGAATTTGAACTATTTTCAAGTCTTATCTTATTCTCAATATGTCTTGATTATTGTACCATAATAGTGGGGTTTATTTGCTAATGCCATGGGAATCACCTCATAAAAGGCATAAAGTGAACCAAACATACAAAATATCCAAGCAGTGGTCCTAATTTACTGTTTGTACAGACCCTAGAGACCAGGTCCATGCATCTAGATCGAATGATTTGAATTTCCCCAAACCTGACATGGACTGGTAATCGAATCAGAGGCTGTGATTCACAATATGATCAAGCCATTATATCAGCTTTTCCCTTCCGGGATAATGCTGTCTTGATTTGGTCCCAATATTGGTACTTCCATTGTGTGTGTACCAGATTATTGTTAGGCCATAATTTTATTCCGATTTTCCTTACTTCAGTTCTATTACGAGTTCGGGGACTGTCTGTGTTAGCCAAGTGAATATACCCTCTGCCCATAGGTTTCAGTCCCTTTACACAACTTGACTTTAAGTAGGCGAACAAAATTAGTTACTTGCATATTGGTACACATACTTCTAGAGCGCCCCTACATTTCTATTGCCTCGTTTTTAGCATTGGAAACAGTTAAACCTCAGTTTGCTGTGCGATATCAGTTTTATGTGAATGCTGAATTGAAAGGGGATCATGACCTTTGTTTTGAAAATTTTGTAGACATTTGGTACAAACTCTTATATTACAGTGTTTCTCGTTCTTCTATGAATAAAATATCTTATGGTCAGATGAAAGTGTTTTTGTGACTGGTGTAGCACATCTGGAGATGATTGAGAAGGAATATTCAACTAAAACATATTGAGCATGAATTTCATAGAGCTGTTGAGCACAAATATGTGTTTGACATGTTTTTATCAATAGCAGAGTCGAGATTGTGCTTTCAAAGTTGCAGTAGTCAAAAATTTTGAATTCTTTATAATCTGAATTGTACTATGATGATCAGAGCCGAAATTATTTAACAGAAACTCGAAACAGCAATAAAGCATTGAAAGTTTCCACAGGCCAAATAATTGGTATCAAAATCACTGTATTATTTAAAGGTTCGAGTGAAAATTTTTGTTCAACGAAGCTGAAAGTCTTTTATGAAATAATTTGTAGTCTGGACATGAATTTCTCTAAAACCACAGCTCTTGATTTCACAGTCACAATTTTAAGCGTTTTTTTATTAGGGCATTACTGCTGTTTTAAACCTCTTATCCCCAGTTTTAAGGAAGAATAAGACTTAAGTTATGAACTGGTAAATTTAAAATGTGACTTGCCACATGACAAAACTTATTGAAAAGAACTATGGCGCATATGAAATCGCATAACATCACTATTCAGGCCTATGAACTTCGATCCAATTCAGTGTGACGCTGTGACTGGCAAACTCCTGCCGTTCATGTGCTAGTATGCAAGAGACATGTGCAAACCCTTGTTTTAAGCATATTATTAGGTTATCCATTCACTAAGATAAAAATAAATTACATCAGGCAATGCAGAGTACAGTCAACCTGCGGGCGCGGCGGTGTGGCTCAACGGGCTAAGCGTTAGGAATACGCTCGCCACCGCACCTCTAATTACTTTGCGTGGGTTCGAATCCCATGTAGGGATGGTTATGTGCGAGAGGATTGCTGGACTCCTCGCCGTCGTTGGGTGGTTCACGTAACCGCTGGTCGGTTACAGCTTCCTCCACCACCAAGTCCATGCTTCCGAAAACAAACAAAATAACTAATCCCATACCCGACTTGGAATGGTAACCGGACGAGAGGCCGTGGTTCGCCATATGGATAAGCCGTCTTATCGGCTTTCCTCTCCCCCGGGATAAATATGTAAATCCTATCCTAACCTTGCTAGAAAAATATTGTGTGAAAAATGCGACACCTTCCGACGACCTTTGACATATCGCCATGGATACTATTCAGCTGTAGCGTGTTTTGGTTTCTTGTTTTGGCTCGGGACAAATTTTATTTTTATTATTTAATCCAAAGGTGCCTCAAATATACAGCCAGCTAAGTACGGAAGTAAGTGTATATATTCTTTTTTATATATAAACTATTGAGACGCCCATAATCCTATTACATGGGAATCTAAACTGAAATAAACATATAAAATAGCGTGGTACCGTCTGACCGTAGTAAAAAAAAGTTCATTCGTCAAGTCAAAACTAGGAAACTGACGGAAATGCGAGTTGATTAGGTGTATAGGAAAAGAAGAGTCGTCGAAGGTAGTTTTTAGAATTGCAGTTCTCTGTATCAGTTTTTTTTTTAAATTATGTTGCTGTTTGTTTAGGTTTGCAATAATAGGGTTTTTACGCACCCCTTAGATGATATTTCAGTTTGACTATGATGTCAAAGTACTATATGACCTAGAACAGTAGAATGCATGGACTAATATGTGTCGACATTCATTATAGTATTATTTGTATTTTGTTTCAAGATATTTGTTTGAGGCAGTGTTGAGAACAAAGCAGATTCTTACATAGAAAGCAGACAGATTGTTTAATAAGCCTCAGAAAACAGGATAAGATAGCAATTAACAATGTCAAGGGTGAGATATTATAAAATGATTCAGATTCAGATATTTATTTTCGTCGTGCAAAACCAATATGTAATAAATAATAAATAAAATAGATGGATAATTGGGGTCTCCTGAGGTATGCGCCGCAAGTACTTCTAGTTGGCCTGGCTCAACAATATTTGCATTTGTAATTTCTAACCCCCACATGCAGACATGACTACGTCATCCAAAAATCACATCACCGCGAAGTCACAATGAGGTAATACGGCCCTCTAAAGTATACAAATAGTTGCACAGACAATCATCCGAAGTCAAGCTAGCTATTTTTTGTCGTCAAAACGATAGCGATAATAGAGAGATCGATGCACAGATGCCATTTCGGACGATCATAACATATATTCTAGCAAGTTCTATGATGTGATTCTGACACAGTGATGAACTGGTAATTTACGGATGACGTAGTCATGTGGGGGTCAGAAATTAGATATGCAAAAATTGTTGAGCCAGGCCAACTAGAAGTACTTGCGGCACGTACTTCAGGAGACCCAATAATTGGGTATTTGTTGAGATAAGATTTATATATTTATTCTGAGATAGAGGAAAGTGGATAAGATGGCTTAATCGTATGGCAAACCACGGCTGATCGATTAGTTAGCCAGGTATTTGTATCAGATACATGCACTTGGAAAAAAGCCACAATCGACCAGCGGTCATATTGGAACCACCCTACGACCAAGTTGACAATGGGTCGCAAAAGACTCAATGAGTCATCTAGTGAACGACACCTTGCAGCCCAAAGTAGAAAATGTAAGAACGGTTACGTTTTAATATCCAAACCCTGCCACTAGTAGGTTTATTGAAATATTACTATTCAGAATCATTTCATCTTTTTAAGCTAGTGATGGGGTTCTAGGTCTTGTTTACGCGGTTCAGGTCAATCAGATAGTTTATCCTGATATAGACAGCACTCACTCATCTTCTGGTAGCAGGGAATAGGATGACAAGGTTTCGCAAGCCCTTTAAATGTATTTAAGTATATTTATGTCCAAATTCTGAAGTATTAGTATTATTTATTTTTTGTGTGGTGTTATGTCGTATTTATAGATGTTGTCTTGTCTTACAAACTCCTTTGTACAAACAGTTTTGTATACTTCACCCTTACTTCTGTTACCACACCCACCCACACTCCTTGCACAACTGGGTGTATAAGAGACCATATTATATGTATTCCATTTACTTCTTTTTAAAAATTTTCAAAGGTGGTGCATGCCGCACGTTCCTGTTTTAGGCCAGTATGGTATTGTGCATACATCCCGTCTTGAGTAATGATAATCTATCTACGCTTTTGTTGCTTTTACGAGACAAATAAACATACATACATAAATGCTGATTGTTGTGTATGGCCTAGTGGTTAGAACATTGACGTTAAACATCTCGGGTCATGCCTACCACCTCACCCAGGGAATAATAAATTGGGTAAGCAATGCTCAATTGGAGAGATTCATGTTCTACTAAAGCTTGCAGTTTTTTAGAGTAGTTGTCTGCCTAGAACAGGAGGGGGGGAGCACATGTGAGTGTGACGTAAAAGGTTACATTTTATGAAGAATATTCACAGTGTTACAAAAGCAATAAGTGGAAAACAATAAACCTTGTGCCAAAACTAAATTTAATCGTAATTGCAACAAATTCCTTGAGCTATTTTGGGCTAAAATATCAACATTTGGTTTAAGTTTGATATTGGCAGCATCAGGCGGCCAGATGTTTCTTGACTCTATTCCCTATTTTTTAGAACTGTGTTCAGGGGAGAATAAAAGAACTCTCTACGCATTGTTGGGGATGATTATTCGTGAATCTTTTATTTTTCAGAGAACAACAAAAATGACGAGTGCTCGACGTTCCCGATCGAAAAAGAAAGAGAAGACCGAGGACGAAGAAATGTTGGAGAAGGAACCGAAAGGATCGTTTGCATGGAAATTGTTTCTGCCGTCTCAAATCAAAACTTTGATAACCTGTGATTCACCTGAAGATTTAGAGGTTCGTTGGTCTGTTGTCATCAATAATCGATAATTTGAAAGAAAATAACATACTGTACTGTAGCCAATTTTTTTTATATAATATGGCAATTAGACTATGCTTATTACGATCTGATTTTCAAGAAAAAACTTCTGGCAAAAACAAAGTACATGTCTCAAAGTAGTGATCTTTAATGGTGTGTGAGGATCCATTATCTTTGAAGTATTGAAATTTTTCCGATCATTAAATAAAGTTATTTTAGATTACCCAGGGACATTGATCGGTGAATAACGATGTGTTTTTTGTTTTTATTTTCATAAATATATTGTGGGGCTCCATAAACAATAGTCAACCGCTTTGCGTGCTCTGTAACACCAAATGTTTGAGAACTCTTGCACTAGGTCACGGCGGTGGCACGTGGGTGTCGCTGCTCGATAACCAGTCTTGGTGTCTCGCGCCTCCCTTCACACTAATATACCATATTCCTTATTTTTTTGTATTGTGTATTCACAAT